TTAATAGCAGTCATTTCTACCGTACAGCCTGTCTACCCACAGGTTCTTGGCCCTGATAACAGTGTCAGGAATGGGCTTCATATTGTGAAGTGGGAGCCAGAGGTTGTAGATGAATACAGAGAAACTGTATTTTCTGGACACAACAGGGCTGTTGCACATATGAACACACAGCATTTCTGATGGCATGCACAAGACATGTGCAAGTCCAAGCCAGGAAAAAAAAATAAAACAATATAGATGGAGGGGGCAGGCAAGAAGCCCCAGCCCTAGTTTGTGGATTTACCATGCCACATTAAATTATGTGACTAAAACAGCCTGACTCTTAATTTAGTTTTTAAGAGTGGGCCTGAACTTAAGAGGACACCCATTTCCCCAATGTCTATTGGAACTGTGCCCTGGGACTGTGATTTGGATCTCGAGTCAAACATCACATATAATTATTTTAAAGCATTTTTCCACTTCAGTTGGGGGAAGTACAAGCTAGAACCCATGATTATCAGGCAATGTTGCCTTTCCTTAGTTCTAAAACATCTCATACACGTAGTGTCAAGCATTCTTTCTCAATCTTCATGCTTTCAATGAACTTGCATGTTCTGTCTGTTAGTTCTTTGATGTGTTAATTCTCAAGTATATCCCCATTTATTCATTATCTTTGGGGGTGGAGTAGCCAATTGAGGTTCCCAAGGAATAATATCAGGTAACCTTTATGTGGTCCAACATAACTAATTTAAAATTGGCCAGTGATGCTAAATACAAAGTTTTATTTCTACCTTTAACTTTCTCCTAAGAAGATATTTAAAATAAAAGAGAAATGGTTTATTTTTTAACAAGAAACCACTCACTTGCTTATTTGGAAGATCAATACTATAAAAATACATACAGTAAGTTCAATCAGCATAAACTGAAGAATGTTTAAAATTTTAAACAACTGGAGATAAGATTGTTGTATTGTTGACTCTCAGTTTAGTATGGATGAATAATTAATGGAGACCCACCACTTCACTTTAAGACATAAATTTAGAATTATTGATTTTGAAGCATGTTGAGATCTCAGTGTGAAAGCATGAAAAGCCATAT